TATATATATATATGCAAATAGGCTGTATAATAAGCCATTCAAAACTTTTCTTATTTCTTTCCTAGAAAATATTGCACAGCCGTGCAGTTTTTTCAACCTGCCGCGTTCTAATTAAGAATTTGTATTTTGAAGTGTGCCATTTACATGTAGTAATACATAATTTATCTTTCATTGGTAAAGTTCTCTGTTTCTACTTTAAAGTTGAAGAGTTCAATGCACTTTGTATCCCAGAGAAGCAGAATGACCACAGCAGAGCTCTTGTTTACCCACAGCTTTCCACCTACCTCTTCCTGAGGAGATCCAATTAAAGTATGGAAGCTAGGCAGTAGAAGCAGAAGCCATAACACAGTCTTAAAACCCATTTTACTCATTATTTCTGTGCGTCTACCTGCTCCGCTTCGGCCCTCTATGCAGGTATGAGCCAAGCCATGAGTGTATGAGTAACATGTTTATGTAAACAGTAAGGACAAAGTTGATGTATGTCATACGTCATTTCCAGATTTTTTTTTTTTTTTTGCTTCCAAATCTGAGATCAAAAGGGCATCTCATTTTAGATGCCTTTTTGAGGGGGATGACTAATATGTGAAAATTTTGATCTTGCTTCATAGCAACAAAATGTGTTATTTAAAGTAAAGGCACAATGCATATGTTTGACTTGGATTAAATTTGATCACTCATCAGTGGAGTCTCAGTGAACATCTCCAACATTAAAGTACTAATGTCCTTTAAAACCTGATTGAGACATTGATCTATTGTAGAATTGATTACTGCAGCGTTGTTTTCACAGGTCTACCTAAAATTTGGACAAGACCACTGCTACTGATACCAAATGCTGCTGCCTGCATCCTCATTGGAACTAAGAAAGTAGAGCACATCATCCCAGTTCCAAAGTCATTCCAACACTTTCTTGTATCTGAGAAAATAATCTTAAAAATACTTCTGTCAGTCCATAAACACTGAATGGTTTACGGTCAGAATACAGACTTGATGTTTGTGGATCAACTGCCCAAACCACTCAGGTCTTCTGGCTCAAATCTACTTTGCATACCCAGAACCAAAAATAGAGGAGGCTTGTTTATTTTTATGCTGGTTCCATGCTGTTCAGTGAATGCTGTTCAGTGAATGCTTTTCAGTGCAGCGAGGAATGCTCTGATCTTTATATTGGAGAAACCAAACAACCTCTCCACAGACGCATGGCCCAACACAGAAGAGCGGCCTCCTCTGGACTCTGCTGTACATCTACACCTGGTGGACAAAGGATATTCTTTTGAGGACCATCATGTTCACATTTTGGATTAAGAAAATAGGTGGTTTGAGAGGGGCGTGAAGGAAGCCATCTATGTTAAGAGAGTAAAAACAACCTTAAACAGAGATGGTGGACTCAGATTCCAGCTTCCGAAAACTTACAATTCAGTTATTCAAATTCAGACATTTTGAAATGAGGAAGCTTCCTGGAAGGGAAGCGAAACGTCTTCAAACCTTGGATCCCAAGTCCAGTGGATTGTTTTTTTAAACTTTTACGGAATATATTTGTTATTATTTGGGGCTCAATGGCGTCTTACATGCTTTATTTAGTAACCAAATGTCAGACCCTCTCATATTCATACAGTTGTGCTTGAATGTTTATGTGCTGATCCATATTTTATTTTTACAGCATAATAATTTAGCACTTTTTAAATGTATTTTTACTTTTACCCGACCTAGTGTTATTCTATAATTGTCTTTAATGGTAGGGTGTGTAAACTTTCAAGTACAACTGTATTTAGCCTGCCACATTAACCCTCCTGCTGTCATAATTTTCCAAGGGTGTTAGTGACTTTTGTGGCCTCTAGAGGGCAGACTTGAGCTTTAGCAAAAAATAAATGAAGAGGCAGGTATGTACAGCAGTTCTCTGGAGAATTGAAATGTAGCTCTCATGAAGCTCATTAGAGGCTTGAAATTAACTGTACAGCACTTTTTAAAAAGAAATTTTGTCAATTTTTAAATGCAATAATGCCTGAATTTCAATAACAAAAGTATTTTTTTCTTCTTGCTGTAAAGTAATGAGAGACTTGAAAGTTTCCTCCAATTTGGCCCTACCCAAGCTGCAGTGTTTCTACTCAGCCCCTATCTGTCTATACCTGATGGGGAATACTTTATCTCAGCAACTCTAGGATCCAAAGCCCATCTGCCATTGTTCTGCCTGTTGTCAGCCTGGATTAACAGCTGGCCGGCGAGGCTGCTGCACCAGCATCACCACTCATCTGAAACCTCAGTACTGGATCTGTCAAACACAAGGCTGTGATAAATGCTGTTATATCTTCACGTCCATATCTGTTCCCTCTGAGGAGAACAAGAATTTTATATTTATGATGTCCTCAATTATACATAACCAGCCATATGGGATACTCAAGTGGGCACAAGCATATGACGCCTCAGGGAAAGTATTGTTTGGTTGCAGCTTTTTTCTGGAAAAAGGGAAGAAGCTGTTCATTGTCAAGAAGTTTAACACAGACAACTGATCATTCTTTTTCAGTTTTACTAGAATTCCAGAGCCTGTTTTCTATTTTATTGTAAAAACAGGAAATAAAACTCCCCTTCGGCGTTCAGACTGTACTCTTAAGACTTAATTTTATTATAAGCCATGCCTCTTTTTTCGGATTTAGAGAGGCACTAATTTTGAGTAGATCTGATTTTGTCCATTAAAGGACATCCTCTTATCTGCTGCTCTTTGTCATCATCTCCGTCTGTTGCTCTAAAACAGTGAACAGCTTCTACTGCCCCCCACCCTGTAGAGGAGCTCTTTGGCTGACCTTTTTATGATTGTTTATAGCCATATGGAGAACATACAGTGCTTTTAAACAAAGTATTTCTTCCTGAGTGATCTATTTTCTTTTGGTATTTTATTTATCACACTTAGATGCTTCACATAATCTAACAAATAATGAAATGAGAAAAATAACCCAATGAAATCCAAAATGTAACATTTCAGTTTTCTTTTCATTTATCCAAACCAACATGACTTTATTTGAATATTCTGCTGTTTCTAAATCATCTAAACAGAAATTTATCTTTTTCTTTCATAAATATGGACGGGGTTCTGCTAGTTACACCCAAGCCTGTTTACAGCCAGACTGTTAACAATGAGAAATCATCAAAATAAAACCTGTCTGAGAAAGAAAAAGAAATCCACATGTCATTCCCATATTCAAACAAAATCAAGAACAGTGAAAAACAGTCCCATCTATCAACATCTGAAGGGTTACAAAGCTATTTTTAAGGATTTGGACTCCTGATGAACTACAGTCTCTGGAAATAGAGAAAACTTGCAGTATCAGTGAACCTTTCCAGGAGTGGTATCGCTACCAAAAATACATCAACGGCTACATTTGGAGGTTGGAAAATAATCTAAGAAATCTAAAGGTCATGATCCCCTACATCTAAAGCTAACCAGTATAAAACTAAAAGCCAGTCTGGTTGGATGTAGTGTGATAAAATGGGGTTGCTTTGCTTCTTTAAGACTCGGCTGAATGTCCAGTGATCTGTCCTTCACCTTAAGTTCACCCACACCTGGACTCTGCAGCAGAACTATGATCAGACACTAGAGTATCCTCTTTTGAATGGTTAGAAAACCAACTAAATCAAAACTGAACGACTTAGAGTTTTATCAAGTTCCATCATGGGCTGCTCAGTGCTACCCACTTCACCAGCAAGAAGGTTCTGGGTTCAATTCCCAGTCCAGGCTCTTTCTGCATGGAGTTTGCATGTTCTCCCTGAGCATGCGTGGGTTCTCTCCAGGTACTCCAGCTTCCTCCTACAGTCCAAAAACATGACTGTTAGGTTAGTTGGCTTCTCTAACTTCTCCTTAGATGTGAGTGTGTGCGTGAATGGTTGTTTGTCCTGTTTTTCTCTGTGTTGCACTGCAATGGGCTTGCAACCTGTCCAGGGTGTACCCCGCCTTACCTTTGTTCATAATATAAAACATATAAAAAAGCTAAAAGAAATTAAAAAAAAAGAAAGAAACTCCACCACAGATGGCTACTTACTATTCTTGCCAGAGTTTCTATCTTTAAGTCTCGACAAAAGGGAATGTCTTTGTATGACATAGCTTTCTTATAGATGTGTTAAATGGATGTGTTCAGTATTGTTTTCTCCATATTTTACAGGGGAGTTCCCCAGGATTCTGTCATTAGACCAGTTATGTTTGTCATTCATATAAATCAAACTACATCTTTAGTACATGTCTATCTATCCGTATGCTTATAACAGATTTATTTGTTGATGTTCAAACCGTCTCCTTGCACCATTCTCAATGCATTATTATTGTCAAGCTCAGAAAAATAGGATCCAGTATTCAAGATGGACAAACAGATTTCTCAAAACCTTTATTGGAAAGAGAACTGCAGTGAGCAGTGTTGGCGTTTAAGGCAGGGACCTCTGCAGGACGAGACAACAGGTTAGTGACCATGTCTCTCTGGAGGTGGATGGTAACGAACGTGTGAGTCACTATCATGGTCTTATACTTCAGTCCATACCCAGAGGGTGTGGTTGGTTCCTGCCGGCCAGCTGCCAACATGACGCAGTGAGCGCTGACCACAGAGTCCCAGATGCAGATGTATTGGTGGTTGGAGAACAGGCAGGAGATCAGAACCAAGCAGACGAAGATAGGCAGGATAATCCAGAGGGCGAAGCCAAAGCCAGTGTCAGTGATGTGCTGGGTCAGAGCCAGGAGATCAGAGATACAAAGAGATGCAGAGTGAGAATTCAGAATGGAGTCAGGAATACATTTCAGTACACAGACAGGCAGAGATTCGGCAGGAGTCAGAAGACAGGTCAGGCAAACAGATCGGAAGGGGGAAAGGCAGGTTCAGAGGGCAAGAGACAGAACAGGTCAGGATCAGGCTATTTGAAACACATGAATGCTGGAAAACTTCTCACCACTGGCTTGAAATAATCTGACACTGATGACTGGTTTGGGTGCTAGTTAAATAGAGACTAAAGCAGGTGGATCAGATGAGCAGGTAATGAGAACTGGATGGAGCTAAGCAGGTAAGAGAAATGAGTAGATATCAGTACCAAGATCATTGTAATTATTATTGCCTCCCATTCGGAAAGATCTATTTGATTTTAAACATTGTTTAAACTCTTGAGCCCTTAACATTTTCTTCACAAACCACTAAAAGACTAGAAAACTTTTTTGTTAAGAAAAACTGTCACTGAGAGACAGTTGGGCTAAAAATATCTGTGCATCTGATGAAAACCTGAATTTCTAAACACAGAATGACTCTGTTACTGTCATACATTTCAACTGTTATACTATTCTGTTTTTTGTGCTCAGTTTTAAGTGCATTTGCTGTGCTTCCTTCAAAAAATCTGAGTAGTGTTATTGCAATAAACAGGCCTCAAAACTCAAAAGAAATAAGAGTATTTCCTCAGTGGGTTTTCCAAATATGAGGGAGTATTTATTTTTTAAAAGTTAAAATGTAGAATGTTCATTTTAGAAGCTTGACATCTCACTTATTAGCTGAAAGCATACTGTGCCCACTGAACCAAATGTTTTGTGTTGATTGTGCTTTTTGATCTTGCAAGTTAGCAATTATTGCCTCAACTAGAAGGCCTTGACTAAATCTAACACTTTTTTGATCATTCTGACTCATTGCATTTTCTGTTCCAAGTTAGGTACATGGTTATTTATAAAACTGCCAAAGTGATGGATCAGATGTTGAATCAAACTTATAGCAAAGCATAAAAATATCGCTTAAATGGCCTGATAGCATCTATTTTTCAAACCTACAGACATTTTTCTCTCTATCATTGTGTCATTTGTTTAAGCACAGGTGTCTCGCTCTTCAAGCTGCAGTGTAGTGAAATGTGTAAACCCAGCACTGTTTCTTCCTGCTGATGAAGTCCTCACTGCTTTTCATAGTTCTCTCTGCTAAATTAAGATGAATACTCTGTTGATCCTATCATGCAAGCCCCAAGATGACGACATTCCATGCAGAAATGTATTATTGAGGGTGCTGAAACTCAGCGCTAAAACAATGTATATGGATATGTTCCAATTTTTGGTTCTCTTGCAGAAGACCCCATACTGTATTAGCATATGTCAGCATTACATGGGGATCCAAAGAAGTTGCAGCGGCATTTAACGATGCCCTGCTGCTGATGAGTTAATGATCGCAGTGTGTGAGCGCTGTCTGATAAATGGACAATTATGCAGTAATTGCACACAATCCTTTCAAGGGGAAGTGCTCCTATAATGTGTGAAGGAAAAAAATAAGAAGCATCAGTACTTGACAGCAATGTTTGCTGCCTTAACAGGTCTGACTTCGAGTTTGCGTTTGTTTGAAGGTAAATGAATAATCAATGAGTGGGAGTTGCATGTGATGCTGACATATTTCAGTCTACATGTGTAGGTCTCTGTAGGCAACATTTCGGAAATTAGCGTGGGATGACCTAAATGTGCTGCTTGTTCTCTCCAGCTCTCCATCAGTGACAGAGCTGTAAACAAAAAGGAATGTAAATTGTGCCCTGAAGTGATGCCAGTTTAAAAAACAACCCAAAAAAAACAGTAGGAGAGCAGTTTTAATGTGTTTGATTTACAGACAATACACCTCCATCCTTAGCTTAGAAAGGAGCATGACAGCAGCTATATCCCTTATACCAAAAGAGGCTGCTTGTGATAAATGGTGGTTCTTCAAAGCAAATAAATCCATATAGGTGCAGCTATATCAATGACATCTACCCTTATAAAATTTCACCTCTAAAATTTCAACTTTCCTCTAAGTTTTAACTGCAAGGAAAGTTAGAATTTTTATTGATTTACTCAACTTTGTATGACCTCAGTCACATTCTCTCTTTGCCGATAGGGTTATTGGAGATCTAGCTGACTGGATTATCTGCAGGGAAGGGCATAGGAAAACAAGCTGAGTTGCCCATGTCAGGATCCAACATTCCAAAAAATGCAGCAGGGCGATTCTGCTGCAAAATGTAGATTTACAAATCCAGTGAAATGAGCACCTGTTTACCTGTTGCTGATGCAAAGAGACTACTAAAAGCATGAACTTTAGCGAGAATCTTAATCGAACATGTGTCTAAAAGCAACAGCAAAAACTATTAATAAAAGTTGTGGGACAATGTCTCAAAAATGCATCACTGATATTGAGGGTAAATACAATTAACAATAACAGATTGATAACAGATATGTAGCATAATACTTTTGTATATTTACAAAAAGCTTTTATTGGTAAATAAAAGAAACATTAAGCCTCTTTTTGAAACAGATATGATTAGATAACTTTAGCTCATAATCTATGCAAACATCGTGTGATTAACTTGTGTTTTTAGGTATTGAATGAGACTTAAAACTAAGTTTAATAGCTAAATAAGTTCATTTGAATTAAGTGGTTCTGTTTTTCTTATATGTTGCTGTAAATGTGAGCAACAAAACAATAGTCTAAAATCAAATCATCACGTCTATAACTTACCTGAACCAACTCTGAATATTAAAATTTTTATCCCTATTCTTAGTACAGTTTATATATGTTTAATAAAGGGAAAGGACAAACTTAAAAGATCTGTGACATTTATTGATAGTAATTTCAGTTCAGGTTAGTGTTTTTATATGGCATTAATTCACAATACATAACCTGAAAAACACTTTACAAAGGCAAATTAATCAAATCATACAGAGAGATTGGTTAAATATCCACTTTCTAATGATATCGAGCTGACTGCCTTGAGTCATAGACTTGGCAGGATTCAATATTTCTGGATCAGCATGTAGCAATAGTAGAATTTGCTTTCATTGTTTCAGTCACTATACAGCAATCCCTCATGTGACGATTGCATGCAACAAAAGTGGGAACAGGAAGAAAACTCATGCAGAATCAGGCTCAGTGAGAGCTGCCTTCTGTCCATGCCAACTGGGGGTTCAAGGAGACAAGGTCACAGAAGCACTGATCCATAAATACGTCATATGTTAGATAGGGTAATTGGTAAACTAGCTCAATTGGTGGCTCTTTCTAGGAAAGAAATGATTAACACATTAGCTCCACTTATTTTATTAAAGATAAAAAAGAGCACATTTAGTTAGCAAAAGCCTCAAAGAGAAACAGGACTTAACACTGAATAACAGGCCGAACTCTATCATATATAACAGAGGTTGTTGATGGTAGCAGTCCACCTGATGCCTCCCTCCAGGATGATGTCACAGCTAAACAGAGAGCCAGGCCAGATGAAGCTACTATAGTAATAGAAAACAGAGAGAACATAACATTAGAAATTGAACTAACAAATACTGCAGAATGAGAGAATAGAGATAGAATCAAATCGATTGATGAAAAGGGGTCCCTATGCCCTCCAGCAGTCTAAGCCTATAGCAGCATAACTACAGAGATAACTCAGGATAACTTCAGATGCTCTATAAGCTTCATCAAAAACAAAAGTTTCAAGTTTAGCCTTAAAAGTAGAAAGAGTGTCTATCTCACGGACTAAAACTGCTAGTTGTTTCCATAGGAGAGGAGCCTAATAACTAATTGCTCTGCATCCCATTCTACTTTTAGACAATCTACAAACTGCAATAACCATGCAGATTGAGAGCATAGTGCCCTGTTACGAACATAAAGAACAATCACATTGATGATGTAAGATAGAGTTTGCTTATTTAGGTCTTTACATGTAGGAATGAGATTTTTGAATTCAATTCTGGATTTAAGAAAATGCCAATAAATGAAAGGGGAAAAATTATCTTTTTCCTTTTCGTCTGGCTGCAGCATTTTAGATTAGCTAAAGGCATTCAACTACATTCAGTCGACTTCCTGATAATAAAGAATTTCAGTAGTTAACCTTAAAGATAAAAATGCATGAATTAGTTTGAAATTTTTCAGATATTCCAGAGAGAAAATCTATAAACCTGTTTAATATGGGATTTGAATAAAAAAACAAAACAAAAACAAAAAAAACCAAGATATTTTACATTGTTAACAGAGGCCAATTTCATGTAATTCACATGAAGTGACTGACTAACCAGTTTCTTTTTCAACAACAATAACTTCTGTTTTGTCCAGATTCAAAAGCAGAAAATGTAAAGACATCCAGTGTTTTGTCCTTGGTTTCCTGCAATCTATGTAATCAGTTAGTTTCATCAGGATTACAAATAAACCTGAGTATCATCAGCATAACAGTGGAAATGAATCCCATGCTTTATGAGATTATTTCCAATTGGAAGCAAATCTATAGTACAAATATTTTGTGCTATGACTAATATGGTATCTTTTTGTGTGCTTCATGATAATGTTAGTGAACCCATCCTCAAACAATATCACTAATGCGTATATAAACTAATTTTGCAGGTGCTTATTAACATGTTCTAACAAATCAATTCAACTATTTTTTAATGTGAGAACATGAGTTTAAAGACTTTGAAAAGCAAACAAATATCAGATCTTTAAGACTATCAAAAATATTTTTATGTCAAATTAAAAAATATGCAACAATCCATGAAAGAGACCTATAGCTATTAGTTTTCAAAGGCAACCCAAAGACCATGAGTTTTCTCCACCTGTATGGTATAAAGTATACAGGAATGGTTAGCAGTCAGGCCCCCATAATGCAAATTTTAATAACTTAAATTAAATGAGGTACAGGCTCTTCTTTAAGGATTTTAACAATGCATTTAACCCATCTAACATATAATATGATTGATGTATATTTTGGTAGGATGATCTCATCAAAGATTAGCTATGGAAGTAAGAAATACACATTGAGAGAGTTATATCTACATTGGCTTTTTTCATATTTTACATTTGAATATAAAATTAAGAACAAAACAATAAATCACAATTATTTTGAGTTGAGTGTCAATATAAACATCCATGACATCTCCTTCACTTAATGAAGTGAAGGAGATGGCTTCTGAGAAATAAGGTGTTAAGAGACATACATATTAGAAAACAGATAAGCGCCTATCTGCTTTTGACCACGAGAAAGAACTATATCGGCATTTATCACCATTTTTTGTTTACATGTCTATTCCTTAATAAAATATCTAATAACTGAAGCATAAACAGACATTATATATGTCCTAAATTAGTTCATTTCTAAAGTAAATTTTTTTTGTGTTTCATTGTGTTTTGCTTGCTCAAAAAATCCGAGTCTGAAAGTTTAAGAAAGAACATAGAAAACCAGCAAAAAAAAAAAAAAAAAAAATAAAAAGAGCAGAAAATGACAAAATGCAACTATAGGAGGTGTAAAATAGTAAAAAGTATATACATATAACACTTTAGAATCTCTATCAGGAACATCATTTTCAGTAGCATTTCCTTTTTATATAGGGGGCGCCTGGGGGTGGGGGTCTTCTATATTCAGCTGTGCCCAGCTCCATTCACTGCAAAAAATGAATTCTAAATAAGTCCTTTTCTCTTAAAATAATAATTTTTTTCTTAAAAGAAGTGGGGTTTTTTTCTCGAATTGAGGAGGTAAGTGAGACACTTTGCCAATGGAACAAGACAATTTACACTTAAAATAAGAAAAAAAATATTTTGTTTTCTCATTTCAAGTACATAAAATCCAATTATCTTATATTAATTGCAAAAGATACTCATTCCATTGGGAATCACCTTATTTACCTACTTGAATCAAGAGTAAACAAACTTGCTTTTTACTTATTTCTAGATCCTTTTTGCAGTGTGGTTGAAATTTGTCCATGCCAACACTTGCAGGTCATTTTATAAAAAGAAGGAGATTTAATCTACTCCTATTTCATCATTCTGCTTTATTCTATCTCTATCCTTCCACTCTGCAGAATCTGTTAGTTCAATCTCTAACATTCTGCTCTTTCTGCTTTTTCTTATAGTAGCTTCATCTGGTCTGTTCCTGTTTGGCTGTGACACTATCCTAGAGAGAAATATCAGCTGTGCTGCTGCCATCAACACCTTTATTTATAGATGTTGGAAATTGGCCTGTTTTTTCAGTGTAGTCCTGTTTCTCTGACTGGGACTGACTGGATGTGCTCTCTCCATCCTCTGACATTGGAGCTGGCTCGGAGCTCATCTGCCTGGCTGTGTGTTTACTGGACAGGGCCGCCTTTTCCAGCTGCCAGCCTCGGCAGATGGCCGCTCACACTGAGCCTGGTTCTGCTGGAGGTTTCTTCCTGTTAAAAGTAGGGCTGGGTAAAAAAATCGATTTAATCGATTTTGGATTGATTCCTTTACATTTTTGCAAAATCGATTTGTAGAGAATGAGATTGATTAGTTTTATAGTGACGCGTATGACGTTCACATTCAAATGAGCAAGCGTGTGCAAATGCCGACCCAAATAATATACTGCGTAGCAAGCTGTCCCAACTGAAGTCTGATGTCTGGCACCATTTTGGATTTAAAACAGCTGAAGATAATGTGCTGGATATGTGAAATTAAGGTGACTTCCCATTACATCAAGGGCGTAGGTTTGATCTCAACTTTGGTAGGGACACTATTGGTCTTAAGTTGAATTAGTCTGATGTCATTAGTCCTATGCATTATGCATGCTCCTATTTTTTTTATGCTTGACGTTAGCATCAGGGCGCATTTAGTGTAAAGAGAAAACAGAATTTTTTTTCTACATTTATACAAATTTTATAAGGACTACACACAAGATGCTGTTTATCAATGTTTGAAGCATCAGTGGCTTGGAATAATGTACAATTGGGACAACCTTAAACTTTGAAAAGGGTTACATTTGACTTACAAGTGACTAAGACGGAAGGTAAATACGTGCCTTTTTAACCAAATATAGTATAAATATGTCTTTTGTATGTGTATTTATCAAGTATTTTCTATAGTTAATATGCAGAGGTAAACAGAGGTAAAACCCACTTTTATTTTTTTTTTAGGTAAACAGAGGTAAAACCCACTTTTATTTTTTTTTTAAATCTGATATGCTGATATTCTCTGCATTGTAAAACAAAGCAAAATGACATATTCAAGGGACTGCAAATAGAGTTATTGTATTTACATGGGCGTGGGAACTATAAGAGGAACTGGCACTGAGCATTTAAAATATTGACTTCAATATACAAGTTGTGAGAAAAGAAGCGACTGCTGCAACAACGCTGTATTGTAAATTATAAACATGTTATTCACATAGAATTATTGGTAGGGACAAGTAGGTCGAGCCAATATTTTGGTAGGGACATGTCCCTATGGTCCCTATGCAAACCTACGCCCATGCATTACATTGATAATAAGTGGCGCCTCGGATCTCGTGCTACAGACCATCAAGAATACTTCAAGCCAGACAGCTGTAAATATAGCCAATAGGTCAACTGAAGACATTAACAAATGGGGGCTGACCAGCAAACACCCTGTAGTTGTTACAGACAACGCTGCAAATATGGTTTGTGCAGTGAAGATAATGCAGCTCATGCATGTCTGCTGTGTCCCCACTGTGTCACACCTGCTTGCTTGTGTAAGGCTTCACTTTTTCACTTTTCACAACAAGTTTGCGCTTTTGAGACAGTTTTGTTCACACCTCGATTAAAATGTCTGATTTAGAAGTTTGCACTTTGTGATTAAGATGACAGGAAAAAAGAAAATACATGAGTATTTTGAAACACAGTTGAACCACTTTCATTATTGTAAA